ATTGAAATTTCATTTTTTGGATTTTTATAATTTTTTGGAAATTTCTCTTATTGTTTTTTTTTGAGTAGAGGCTCAAAATGAAGCCTCTTTTTATTTTTTAAAATTATTTTTTGGTGCTCTATAGTGCGAAGCACACTGGCAGGATCGCCATGTAAAGAATAATATTTTTAATTTTAGTATAACCGCAAGTGTGAGCGGAGTAAATTGTATTGATCTTTATTTTGTCAGAAGTTGGGGGGAAGCGGTGACCATGCCGTTGATGACAAAGACTGCTTTGTCGGCAATCAGGCATTGGGTGGTCTTGGCATTGAAAGTGAAATGGTTTAAGTGGTAATGAACTGAAGTGACAAAGAATGCCATCAAGGTCTTTTGATAATGATATTTGATATTTATTTGTGCGAGTTGAATTGTGAAATGATTTGGGTTAGTTTGCTTCGACTTGTTTGTTCTTTAAAAGTCACACTGCATACTACACACTACAGCACATTTAAAACTCATTAGTGGTATTCACCAAAGTGAGCAAGTGGCCTGGCACTCTGGCAAAACAGCAGATGAGCTTAAGCAACGACTGTTGACAACAATTTTGTGAATACGACTATTGTAAACTGGTTTGAGATCGTTAATATAAAAATCGTTTTATACATACACTTGATTTATTAAGAAAATGATTCAAAATCAGTTTTACTTACTGACAAGGTTTAGTAACAAATTTGCCGAAAGTGTGAGCGTAAGTACTTACTCTACAAGCAAATAGTACGCTATACATCGAATACATATTGTGCATACAGAAAAATTACTAGGAAGTTAAAAACGTCATTTTTTATACAAAAAACGTCCAAACGTCAACAAGATACAAAGAACGTCCAAGTGACGTTAAAAACGGCAACCTGGCAACACTGGTGGTAATACTGACTTTGTGCACCAAACAAAGAGCGTAAATTTTCCTCATATACACAATAAGCCATCGTTCGGACTTTGCTCCGATAGGAGTAGATTTGTTCCGTTTTGTCGAAATAATTTGAAACCTAGTCCTCTACTCCGCTCAACTGAAAATCCGTTTTGTTGCATCAACGAATCTACTCTTCAAATAGAAAGGAGGTGGGGTTTTTAGTAGCAAACTAAAAGTTATATTTTACCTTTTTATCGACACGTTTGTTATATTAGTGAGCTACAGCACCATTGCAAATACACTTAAAGGCATTTTAACTTTAATGATAATTGCTGGCTAAGGCGCCTTTACACGGGTCGATTTTCTAGTAGATTTCTGTCGCTCAACCAAAATCGACCCGTGTAAATGACATCTCAACCGTAAAATGTAATTGCTTTGGCTAGTCGATTTTCCAGTCTACAGAAATCGACCCTTGTAAAGACAGCTTTAGCCCCTTATTTTGTCCCAGAATACCGTGATACGAGGAGAAATGAATTGTTTTTTATAAAGATAAGAAATGCACATCTACTACAAGAACTTGATTTTTACCCCCATTTTTGCAGCCCGAACCCAGCAAAAAGCGCTCGATGAAGGTAAGCTAGTAATCAGTATTGCTAAGGTTTTTTATTTAAAAAAAGCACCAAAACACTGAAAATAGCGAAATTTTCCCAAAAAAGCACCAAATTTGTATTGCTGTGTTAAATGGTATTTTTGCATATAAAGCTGTACCTGTGTTCAAATATTTTAAGTAATCACGCAATGTCACTTGAAAATTTTTCAATTTATGCGCAGTTAATTAATTTAATTAGCAAAATATTTTTTTATTCGTAAAACAATTTGCAAAACTTTACTTGGTTTCTCTAGCGGCTTTATTTTCATGCAATTGCTTACCTTTGTACAAATGCGCACACCCAGCTAATTAGCAGAATATTCTATGAATTCCGTGATAAAGACTCTGTGAAAATATTGCGTTTGTTTTATCTGGGCGCATATTATCCTGAGGAGAAGCTCGGCCAAACACTAACATATCTGTAAGTGAACGGATAAAGTTTGAATTTTTTTGTAGTTCTGACTAATGATATACTACTTCAAATCGTTATATCTCGGGTTCTTAACATCGTTTTAAAGCGGGCTTACATTTCTATATACAAGATGGTAAAGATTGTCCTAAAGCTAACTCATCTATTAACAGTTGACCACTTTGAAGTAGATTTACATAGTGAAGACCAGTAAATTAGGGATTTAAAATTACGCCATCGTAATCCTTGTTTAATTCTCTATAAAAAACATGTTTCAAAAAATTGGGCGTTGTCAAGAACTATTTTAAAAATATTTTTTTTATGACGAGATGCTTTTTTTTTGTGAGTCAACAATTTTTTGTAATTTGTTTTCGAAAACTTTTGATGAGATATATTTAGCAAGGTGTTAAACATCGTGAACTGTTGATATTTTTATGAGAAATAGCGACATTTTTCGTATTATGTCGTTGTTCATCACATAGTTACAGTAAGGAAATTAGTAATTTTTTATACGATATTTTTCGTTTTGTGCCGTTGTTCAGTAGTACTAGTGGAGTTCTTTTAGTTTAGCTACTTAGGAGTTCTTACTTATTTCGTATTTTTTCAGTCGAACCCTTACTAAATCTTTAGAAAAAGACATAATTTGAAAGCTTACAAGTTTTCCCTACAGAGTTACTGCAATAATAATATTGCTAAATTACGAAACACAAAATCTTTAATTGGTTTCACCGAAAAATATGAAATTTTTAATTGTGTCGATATTGCAGAGGACCATCGATATGTACATATACCTAGAGTGAAATGGATATTATCAATATAAAACTATGAACTCTTCATAGACTATTCCACTAGCCTAAAACTTAAAAAAAAATATTTTAACACAGAAATTAAAATAAAGGACTTTAATTATATTTACCTACACATAAAAGTCTTAAGGTGGCTTTTTTCAACGATAATTAAATTATCCGTCATACATGGACTTTTATTTTAGGACAGAAAAATAAAAGTCCTAGTATAACTGTCACGAAAAGCAGAAGAAATATCTATCAGAAAAATATTTTTATTTATGGTTAAAAAAATAAAAGTCATAAAATAACACATTAGTTGAATTTAATTGTATAGGTTAAAAATTAATTTGTTTCTTTTGACTTTTTGGTAAAAAAGTAATAAAGTAACAATCTGAAGATAGTTTTATGGAAACGACTCATAACTGTTACAGTCCCTGGTAAATCTTTCATTTCAGGTTATAACTGGTGTGTTGAAGTCATTAAAACCTCTAATTTGGCTTGGTTGGCCAATGAACTGGAATTGAATAAAGCCTTGGTTTACTTGAGACAGAATGATGTCAGTCAAGCGATTGAAACGTTACAAGTGCACAACAATAAATCCGAAGAATCTTTGACGGCAAGTGCCCTTATAAACCTATCATTCATCTACATAAATGTGAGTAATTTTTTTTATATAAAGTATTTAGTTATATGTATCTTTTTGTAAGCTCAAAACAAATCGTAAACATTAGTTAGAAACTGTTGGTGCCGTTTTCACAGTGGGGGGTTAACTCAAATTCGGCAGTTAACTTTAAATTTTTGTACTGAAAACCTATAGTTAACTGCCGAAAGAGAGTTAACTCGTCACTGTAAAAACGGTCTTTAACAGGTTCGACCGCAAGAAGTTGACGGGAGGTATGTGGGAGGGGTGTTTGGGGGTTTAAACCTCCCTGTGGGAAGGAAATACGCATAACAATTTGCCATCATTTAGTTTAAGATAATAATGGTAAAAAATATTTTAAGATCTCAACAATTTATATTGAACTTGAGGCCGTTTCTAATGGTCCATACCCCAGTGACCGCGGTGAAGAAGTCTGATGAGGAGATGTGGTGATAGTGGCTATGGGTAAATTATTGTTGTTTTTCCACAATATTTTTCCATTAAAAACGGATTCAAGTTCAATAAAAATTGTTTAGTATAATTGCTAAAATGCCATAAATACCAAAAACAAATTTTAAGATATCCGTAAACATTTTGTATTGAAATATCCTAATCGTGACAACATTGTTTTTCCTTGCAATTAAAGGAACGAAGTTTATTGTAGATTCCGCGGCTAATGGGTACTACCTATTTAAAAAAAAAAAAACGAGACTCATTTAAGTTCAAATGAACTCTGTGAAGGGAAACCAATAAATATATAAAAAAATTGCATTCAAATATTCTGTTTTAAAAGATATGAGTTGGATTTTGACCCCTTTCGATGAATGAATGATTGCGTGCACTTTATAAAACTTCAGTTTTACGAAACATACGTTTTATATCAAATCCCATATTTGAACGTTACACGGTTTTGGTATAAAAATGCATTATTTTTAATTTTCTATGCTTATTATTTATTTTTTGAAACGTGCAAAATTAAAAAATTACACTAGCGAGTATTGTAGTTTATTTTATTATTTTTATAATTTTCAGGAATCATATTTTTGTACAATAATTCAATGTACAGTTGGTGTACCACAATAACCAATGTCAATGACACTTCTTTTTGCAACGTTCAAAAATTTCCTACAGGGTTCGTATTTGCACACACATGCTCTGCTCACACACACGCCATAAACACATTCAACTTGCACTCACTGCTCATACATATGTGTGTGCATAAGTGGAAAACAAACTCTACTCACAGAAAAGTGTGTGCTGTTTGTTATTAAGCACATGCACATGTGTGTGAGCCGATTTTTGTACAAATTTCAGCCCATGAGGAGAAACGACTGGCGTGCTTTGCTGAACTCGGCCAAAATCGCTTAGGCGGTTACAGCGCCAAAAAAGAAGAAGAAGAAGAAGATAGCAGGCGTACAAAAACAAATATTTACATGTATTTTGTTTTTGCTTTGGCGCCATAAACTGTCAAAATCTGTAAGAGTGTGTGTAGAAATTCAAACAAAATTTTTCAATTTGATATCAGAAGCCGTGCGGCGAAACACATACACAAAATCAGCCGAGCTAGTAACACCACCTTATATAAATTCGCCTTGTGTATAAGTTTCTCTACGCATAGCACACACATGTGCGTGTGCTTTACATTAA